TTACATTGATTTTTTATTTATTTTCCGTCTCTTTCTACTGGAATATGAGCTCCATGAGACCATTTTTGCAACTCCAGCATCTAAAATCGTGTATGACATGAGGTTAATGTTAAAATAATGTGTTGAATAAGTGAATAAATTTATTGAGCCTCTACTCTGTGCTACACTATTGGGAATTAAGAATATGGTGGCCAGAAAATAGACATCCTCCATGTATATCTGGAACTGCAGGGGAGGAAAAGCAATTTGCTCTTCTGCGTTCTTTGTTGAGACCTCCCTGTAATAAAAAGATTAACAGGAAAAAAAAAAAAAGAACAAGCAGAACTTGAATAATACATATACCTTCTGTATACATGGGAGATACCCAGGAAAACTGAGTAACTCCTCAAAATGGCCCAAGCCATCACCTTGAATACCATCTCCATCTAAAGACAAAAAGTGTATAGAGGGGTGAGGAGCCAGTTATGGGAGGTTTTCAGGCAAAACACCGTAAAGGAGGGTATAGTTGTTATGCAGATATTAGTCTTGGCTTTCTCCATTGATTAGAGTTTCTAGAGATTTGGTTATTTCCTCTTTCTCTAGGGGGAGGGAGACACCTTTACAGAGATTTCCCTTATAAATATAAAGGGGTAATTTCTACTGGGTTTGCAGAACTTCTCCTATATCTGCTTTTATTTTTTTAAATAACCAGTTCAAACTAATCTTATTCCAAAGAAGTGTATTTTGGGTGGCATATTCTGCTCCCTTTCAGAATTTACAATTTAGTGGAACATATATAGAACAAACAGACAAATAAATGTATAATTATAAACCACAGGTGAACCTGAACCTGACCTATTTAGGAGATAGGGAAAGTGTCCTTGAGGATACTATATTTGAGCTATTCATGACCCGAGATATGAAGAAGTGAATAAAAGTTATCTCGGTGATAGGGATGGGTGGAAAAGGAATTCCATACAGAATGTGCTGGCCCTGAAATGGTGTAGGATAGAGGATAGTGGAACCATAGAGAGATAATGATGTGGCCCACTGGGTGCTCAGCCTTCTGCCAGTTCCTTTGGGAATATCCAGGGAAGAGGCTCTAGTGACTGAAATCCAGTTGAAAATCAAGAAGTAGGAATTCTATTTTCAACTTTTTGAGGAACCTCCATACTGTTTTCCAGAGTGGCTGCACCAGCTTGCATTCCCACCAACAGTGTAGGAGGGTTCCCCTTTCTC